TGTCGCTTTTTACGACCTTAACTGATTTCTCTTAGACATGCAAATCAGTAATACCCCTGTCGTTCAAAGCGCTCGGACTCCCGGGCAATCCGCAAGACCATTACTGTTCACCCTCTTTAACGTTAGGGTGGAGTTCCTTTTGTTGCTTGTAACAGTCGATCCACGTAGCATCATATACTAGGACTGGCGAGGTCAGGACGAAGCGAGCAGAGCCGTTGGCAATAGTGTATGAGGCCCAGTACCGGGACCCGGTCTCGGGGCCCTGGTAGGCGACATGGTGGAAGTTCATACGCGTGATGTAGTACGAGGCGGCCTGCTTGGCATTGCCTACATACCAGTGGATGTGATCGTATCCGCGCATAGTGTCCTCGCCTCGTGACGTTCTCGCCTCATAGTTTTCCTTGAGGCTATCAGAGTATCCGTTGCTGTGGCCATTAGATTGTCCATTAGAGTGCACATTGGAGTACCCGTTGGAATGTCCATTAGAGTATCCGTTGGAGTATCCGTTAGTGTCCATTCGAGCTTCCATTGAAATGTCCATTGGTAACGCCGTTCTTGGTGCCGTTTGCTTTGTCAGTCTAATAACCCATTATTCCTCCGCTTCTGAAAGCTAAAACTTTCGTTCAATTGCGGAATAAGTAAAAGGTGTAGAGGTGGGATAGTATCTTGTGAAGAGATAGAAGAGTAGTGTAATCTACAACAGTTGCACAAGCTCACAAAAGTCGAACAATTTGCTTATACATGTAGAAGTCAGCTCTTGCTATCTTTTCTATTCTATCCTCAAGCCTAGATTTATAGCTAGCTCCTCCGGTGGCGCAGGGTCTTTCTCCTACTCGTCGGGTCACTATTCGGCTATGCACCACGCAACGTGCTCGGGGTATTTCCTAATCGGAGAACGCGCAAGGCATCTATCAGCTGGGTTTACCGTGTTTAAAACGAGCAGAGATGTTACGTCACCTTTAGGCAGTAATTCAAAAATCCATGCCCCTCTCGAACGAGGATCTCGATGTATTGTACAACGGCCTGCAGAAGCTACGTGCAACACGGGGAGCAACACCAGAAAGTTAATTAGATAATATCGAAGACATGGAATTCCTAAGCTCGTATCCAAACTACAATTGACGTTAGGCTCTGAAAAAGAAAAAGGGAGGTGGCATGTTTAGCGACAGCTCATACAGTATGCCGAGAGATAGAACCTCAGCTCCACCTCGAAAGCCCCACGAGCGCCACTTCTGTACTCTTACTTAGTGAAAAAGCTTGTGCAGATAAATTTAATAGTTTATCCTTGTCCAGGGTCCATGTTTGCAGGTTGTTTAGGTGTTTTCATGCTTCAACGCTTTAGAGTAGCCTTTGAATGTTATATAGTAAAACATAATTTAATGTATTTCCTCTCCTTCACTACTTCCAGCGCCACTATCTATCTCTACTGCTACTCTGCTCACGCTTTCAGAAGGAGCTTTCCCGTTGTCTTGCCAGACTCCAGATCATCTTGGGCCTGAGCAGCATCCCTGAGCGGATAGACCTTAAAGATTTCAATCTTCACACCGTCTCGCTCTAGGAACTTGAAGACGGCTGCCGCGGTTGCATTCAATTCCTCTCAAGTAGCAATGTATGCTGAGATGCGAGGCCTAACCAACTTAATGCTCTTCCCCGATATCCGCCTAACTTAGTGATCAGTACGGTTCAACAATCAATTGTCTGCGCGTCAGGATGACGACAAGATGTCCTCACATAATATCAACTAGTTCAACGGTGCCAGTTGTATTCCCGAAGCTCACCATAGATCCTTTTCGAGCGACGCACTGCAGGCTGGTATCAAAGGTGGACTTGCCTAGGCTGTCGAACACTGCAGCGACTCCGTTCCCACTAGTAAGGTCCAGCACGAGTTTGACGTAGTCTTGTTTATTGTAGTCGATGACATAATCGGCCCCGAGCTGTCTTACCAGATCGAGCTTAGCGGTCGAGCAGGTGGCGATGACGGTGGCCCCCAAATCCTTCGCCATCTAAACCACCCAACAGCCCGTGCCGCCCGCCGCGGCGGTGACAAGGACCCACTCTCCTGCTTTGACGGGATAGGCCTCATGCACGAGCGACCAGGCCGTGATAGCCTAGAGGGACACAGCGGCGGCAGAGCTCGTCGACAGACGTTCCAGAATGCGCACCGCTCAGGCGGCCGGAATGGCCACGTAGCTTGCGTAGGTGAATGAGTGATAGATAACTACCTTGTCGCCAACCTTGAGGCCGTAGAGGTTGCCAGCGTTTGCAACGGCAGCGACCGTTCCTGCTGACTCGCTGCCCGGGATGTACAGGAAGTTGATGATTAAGTAGAGTCCTTTGCGGTAATAGCTAGATAAGAGACAATTTTAGCACATCTCCAAATCAGGGCTGAAAGAATGGTAACATAATCAGTGGCGTTAACGTGCACCACCAGTAAGCGGCCCACACCAGTAAGTGGCCCACCCCACCTGACCTGACGCGACGCTCTGCACAACCACCACTATGCCGCGACAACAACGCTCTATACAGACTTCTCGTGAAGGTA